CCCAGGATGCTGATTCCAGACCCTTATGTGATGAGTAGAGGTAGCTTGCACTTTCTACCGTTGTACTTGACAAGAACTTCCACTTCACCCACGATCCGGACAGGCTGCTGTGTGTAGGTCCGCACTCCTCTGGAACACAGTCGAAGTGCCTTCCTCGAGATTCCCAGCTTGCTCAGTGTCCTCAGGTTGACAATGGAACAGACGGATCCAAAGTCCACTTCCATCGATACCTGCTCTCCGTTCACGGTGACCGTTGCCATGAAAGCTGGCAGTCCACTGGCGATGTGGTAAAGTTCATACACTCCTGAGCGTCCCAACTTGCTTGGGCATTTGTTGTCGCTCTTGGCCCTGCTCCTTGCCTCTTTCTTTTGACGGCAGGCTCGAACAATGTGCCCCTTCCACTTGCAGAAATGACACTCTGCGTTGCGGAAACCACAACTTGTAGAGTCATGGTCGCCGTGGCAGCGGAAACACCGCCCTGTTCTTGTTGCTTTTGGCTCTCTTGAGGGTTCTTGTTTTCGGCCCGGCTTGGCACCCTGGGGCACTTGATCCATCCGATGTAAATCGGACGCCGCAGGCAACGCTCCTCTAATGTTTTCCGTTTGCCGCGTGACATACTCGGCAGCGACAGCCTTATCGTATGCTTTCTTGAAGTCCTACCTAGTTTCAGCCAGGAACCGCCGTTGCAGCCCCATTCCTAACGCCGCAGACGAGACGATCGCGAAGCATGTCTTTCAGGCAGACGCCGAACTCGCAGCGCTCGGAGAGTCAGCGCAAGTCCGCGATGAATTCTGCAATGCCTTCACCAGGCTGCTGACTTCGTTTGTGGAATGAGAAACGTTGTAAGATTACCCAAGGCCTTGGCGTGAAGTGGCTTGTGAGCTTTGAAACAATGTTCGCGTATAGCGTCTCTGCTGGCGAACACAGCGAGCGAAGGATAGCGTACGTAGCCGGATCGCAGACGCTGCACAGCACTGCTCTCTGATGCTGCTCCTCGACCACGCCGTTCGCCACGAAGTAGAACTCCAGGCGTTCCCTCAACGTAGGCCAGGCTTCCGGGTGGTCCGGCGAAAACTCTTCCATGTGGCCCAGTCGACCCATGAAGACGTTCGGAACGCTAGGTTTAGCTTCCGAAGCCATCCGTTCTGCCCGCTGCCGCCGCCGCTACACAGTCGCTCGTCCTCGTTGCCTCGTGTGGAGTCTCGCCGCTTGCATTTGCTTCTTCATGCGGCCGACATCGCTTACCGTTGGTCCGTGACGTCGTCACCAAATGTTAGGTAGGCATAACAAAGGTTTATTTACAAGGCCGACCTTGGCCGCATAAAAGAGTCGAAGGGGTAAAAACGGAAATGGCAAACAGTGAGTCCTTCCACGTTCGCCTACTGGAAGATGGCGCTGCTATCGCTCAGTTGCCCGATGATCTGCTGCATACACAACAGTTGTATTCAACAAGAAAAATTATAAAATGAATAACTTAAAGGCAAAGCACATATTAGTTATGAACAATAGAAAGTAGAAATAGCAGTTTTAAATAAATAAAAAAATTACAACAAAAACTGTCTCATGTAAAAAAATATGCCATCAGAAAACCAAAGGCTATATCCAAAAACAAGGTAATTTTGTAGCAGCTGCTAATTTACACCTGCATTTAGGGGGCTTTTACCCCACCTGAAATGCTTCACGAGTTGTTACACTTTTTTTTTTCATTTGTTTTTTATTATGTATTTTCATATAGTCCTTGGCTGTTTCCATCTGCTTGAGCCTAGTACCGACCAGCGGCCGTGTGTGGTGGGAGTTAAATACCTCAGGTTAGAGTGCATACTGCACTGGCTAAATTGATCATCTTCAGTGTGAAACGGTGCTGCCGTATCACGAAGGCAGACAGACCCCTCACTGTCTAAACGTAACAATGATTTGCTTTTGCGTGTGTGCAAGTCATCTGTGATATACAGTCCGCACCCCTTGTTGAGTTTAGGTATTAACGGTTATTTTCGAGCTTAGTTCTTTAAGATGTAAATTACATTTTTGGCAGTGTTTATTCTCCCGGTATCTGGGTGAATAATGTCCCGAAATTCCACCGGCATTCGCCTTCCATTGGCTGTCTGAAGTTACATGACAGCTACCGGTAGAATACTGACTTTCTTATTCTGCCGGTATGTCGTGGAAACCCATTTCATGGACGTAATCGCTAGAACTTCATTCGCCACTTTGCGGCGAATGACATCTTAGCGAACAGCGACGTTTTAATGGGGACGCATACCGGGGGCGCGTGGTAATCCACCCTCCCGCGCTGAGCTTACACCGCATCGTGGCAGCAGTTTGTGGGAATGGCTCATTTCGCCCGCTTCAGACAAGGCTATTTCACCCAGCAACTTGGCGTCGCAACACCAGCAACAAGAGCCGCCCGCATTCACACACAGCAACCGAATCGCTACGACTTGTCATCATCATCATTCAATTTGATATTTCTTGCACAATTTAGACGCACAGTTACGTGCTAAAAACGTGTTTTTATATCTTTGAATGGCGTTGAGAATACTAACTCATCTTTCTGAAAAGGTTTATTTCCAAAAACAATTCATTTCAAACCATAAGAAAGTCTTCAGCTGTCATCATCACCACAACAGAGGTGTCACGTGAAAATATTGCGTCCCTGATTGGCTGCTGCCGCTTCAAACGTCTCCGGGTTGTTCGAGTTGCTCGTCCGTTTCGAGCCGGTCCCGATCTCAGCAATTCGTGTCGATCTAGGAAAAGCTAGGGAACAACCCGCCAGCAACCTCAAAATTGCTGGAAAAGTTGCCCCGCCTGAAGCGGGCCTAAAGCCCGCTTCAGACAGGACAATTTTGCCCAGCAACTTGACGTCGCAACTCCAGCAACACGGGCCGCCCGCGTTCACACGCAGCAACCGAATTGCTACGACTTGCCATCATCATCATGAAATTTGATTTTTCTTACAATATTTAGACGCACAGCTACGCGCTAAAAACGTGTTTTTATATATTTTAATGGTGTTGAGAATACTAACTCATCTTTCTGGAAAGGTTTATTTCCAAAAACGATCCATTTCAAACCAGAACCAAGTTTATAGTTGTCATCATCACCACCACAGGGGTGTCACGTGAAAATATTGCATCCCTGATTGGCTGCAGCCGTTTCAAACGTCTTCGAATTGCTCCGAGTTGCTCGCTCGTTCGAGCCGGACCCGATCTCAGCAATTTGTGTCGATCTAGGGAAAGCTGGGGAACAAACCCCCAGCAACCTCAAAATTGCTGGAAAAGTTGCCCCGTCTGAAGCGGGCCTAAGGCCCGCTTCAGACAGAGCAATTTCACCCAGCAATTTGACGTCGCCACACCAGCAACACGGGCCGCCCGCGTTCACACGCAGCAACCGAATTGCTCCGACTTGCCATCATCATCATTAAATTTGATTTTTCTTTCACTATTTAGACGCCCAGCTACGCGCTAAAAACGCGTTCTTATATATTTGAACGGCGTTGAGAATACTAAATAATTTTTCTGAAACTGTTTATTTCCGAAAACGATCCATTTCAAACCAGAACTAAGTCTTTAGCTGTCATCATCACCACCACAGGGGTGTCACGTGAAAATGTCGCGTCTTTGATTGGCTGCAGCCGTTTCAACCGTCTTCGAATTGCTCCGAGTTGCTCGCTTGTTCGAGCCGGACCCGATCTCAGCAATTCGCGTCGATCTAGGGAAAGCTAGGGAACAACCCGCCAGCAACCTCAAAATTGCTGGAAAAGTCGCCCCGTCTGAAGCGGGCCTAAGTATTCTTTATAGCCGTTCAAAAATATAAGAACACGTTTTTAGCGCGTAGCTGGGCGTGTAAATAGTGAAAGAGAAATCAAATTTAATGATGATGATAGCAAGTCGGTGCAATTCGGTTGCTGCGTGTGAACGCGGGCGGCCCGTGTTGCTGGTGTTGCGACGTCAAGTTGCTGGGTGAAATTGCTCCGTCTGAAGCGGGCCACGCCGCTTCGAGGCGATAGTCTGGGGTGGCTCATTAGAGAAAAAAAAAAAAATAATCTGAGTTGTCGATGCAGGCACGTGCCGGTAGAATTTCGGGGAAATTATTCTCCCCGCTGCCGGGAGAATAGGAGCTACCTATATTTTTCATCGAGAAGTAGTAAATCGGCCACACTGCTCTGAGCGCCCGTCACCAAGAAAAACGGCCGACCAGTTAGCTGTGCCACAGTAGGACGAAACATCATTAAATTACCACTGTCTTGCCAATTGTCGAACCCGAGACTAGAGTAACATTGCGATCTTTTTAAATGTGAGCATAGCTAGTGCATCATGCACTCGATTCAAGGACATGCCTGCAAAAACAGATAGTTTCTGAATCGCGAGGCTAGAACCTTGCGATTCAGAAGCTTAAAGCAGCTTCTACGCCCACCTTGATGGTAAAATATATTACCTGTTTCGGTCACATAAAATCAAGTGGTCAGAAGCGTCGGAAGTTCACGTTCAACAAGCGATTCGAACCTACGCAAACACCAAACACCATGCTTTCTGCGAGATCGCCTTCCGTTCGTCGGGACGAGGCATCTGTACTTGGCACGATAGAAGTGTTCTGACGTCACTAATACTGAGCGAACATAAACAAAACGATTTGCTTTTCAAACAGCCATGCACCTACTGCCATACGTGTAACAATCGAACGCATCATTTTGCGGGCGCGCGGCGCGCCAAGTACGGAAGTAACGGCCGTTGTAAGTACCAAGTAGAGGGCGCCGGCGTCGAATTCGCGGCTACCGCTTTTCCGGTGAACTGTGTTGTTTGTGTTGCCGCGGCTCCAAGTTGGTTGGGGGGGATTTTTGAGACGATTTGCGGTGTTTGTACTCGACACAGAAAGCGCCGATCTGCCTTTACAGGAGACACAAAAGCGTTGGATACTTGCTATGAAGACCTGCGTCCAGAACCAGAGGTTGAACAACGCCGCGGCTTAGAAGCATCGACTGTGTGTGAGGTCGTCAAACGTTGCGATGCCCAGCGTGAAAGAATGCAACGATAGTGACGGCGAAGAAATGGACCAGGAAACGCCCGAAAGCGAGAAAACGAGCAATGATGACTCCGACTCGTCGTCGGGATCCGAAGATGAAGACAGTTCAGGTACGTTGCCCATCGAACTCCCTCAACAAAACAGCGTTCGCGAACAGAAAGAGGGGAAAGAAAAAAACCGAATGTGTCTTCGTAGGACTCGTTTTTCCTCTTCATCAGCTGGTGCTGTGTTGTCTTTTTTGTCTGTCAACACGGCAACGTTTCTGTTGCTGTTTTTATTGTTTTGACCGGGTTACTGATTTCCATTAGCGGCACGAAAGGCCACGGATCTTGCGATCATGAGATTGTCGAGATAGCGCCGTTGAGCAGTGTTCGAAAATGTTGCATACGGCAAGTGCAATTTAGCGCGCTTTTCAGAACGGACGTGGAATCTGACCCTGCGCTCTAAATTAAACATGGACCCGAATGTCTACGAAGACGGTATTCGAGCGTTTGAGCTTGGGTCATTCGTTCCCTTGTAGCTTTATTCATTTTCATGGTAAAATTGAATTGTCACAGAGACGAGTATCGAACCAAATGGGTCTGATGATAGCGTAGATTGATCTAGGGACGGGTTCGGGAACACCTGTGGTCACCTTTTCAATAAAATTAACCCTGGTTAATGGTTAAGGTTGACTGAGGTCTAAGTGTCAGTCACTTACAGAAGTGTCTGTGTACAAAATTTGATGTTACACTTTGGAGCAGTGTAGTGTGAGTTCTATTAAAGTACTACAATATAAATTAACGAGTTTCTGAAAACTGTCTTCGTTTTGTGTGGATGGGCGTACTAATTTCTGTAGCATTTCTTCTTTGATCTTGACCGTAAAAATTTGCTTCATGTGCTGATGCGTTTTGTTGCCCATCAGTTTTAGCTTCATTTATTACTGTAATTAATGGATGTTGTTGTTATTAAATACCTTAGAGAGAACCCATGATGGTAGAAAGGTAATGAATGCAACTACTGTCTCGAACACAGGTCAGCATTTGCCTTGCCTTAACCAATCTTTGTTTCACACTGTGTCCAACTCCAAAGGGTCCTAAACATTGCTCTACAGTGTAGCCCACTTACAGCGATACCACATATAACGATGTACTGCTTATAACGATTAGTTTCTAGAGTTTCTAGACTGGAAATGATCAGTTTTTAGTCCAGATACAATGATAATCAATTATAACGATTGAAATTTTGGGTTTTCTCATTATTGTTATAAGTGGGTTGCTCTGTATAGCCTTGGCAATCGTGTAACACTATTTCAGAATTTTCTATCACTTTTAGCAGTCTGGGAATGAGTGGGTTTTAAAGGGAGTATTCAAGAATGTGGTTAATTCAGCCACCTTTGTGCACTTCTCCTGAGCCCATGTTGCATGCTTCCCTCTACAGAGGTTACTTCATTCCAATAAACATGCACTTCTTTGAAAGCACTGTTACATAGCAGCATGACTACGTCAGGTTGGCCACACAAAAGTGAACAAATGAGTGATTCATGAATGGGATCCTTTCAGAAATGGATGAGGAGGACTGTGAGAGGCGGCGGACAGAATGCATCGATGACATGGCCGACCTCGAAAGGCAGTTCATGCACCTCAAAGAGAAGTGAGTGTAAACACATGGTTTTTAAACTTTTTTTTTTTTTAATTTTTATTATTACAGTTGACTTTTCTTCATTCAAACTTGCAGGTAATTCCAACTAACATGCAGGTCCCATCCTATGCGTCTCTATGGGATGAAACTCCTTGCAATTCATACTTCGCTTTATTCAGGCAAACTTTCGGTCCCCCTCGAGTTTGAATTAACAAGATTCGACTGTACCGATGGGGGAACTTGAGGAATAAAGCTGTTTTTATGTAGCTTGATGAGTCCTCGGCACCCCTACCAGGCATGCAGCAACACAATATACCGGGTGATTCAAGGAGAGGCCAGGCTCTTTAGATCGACTTCAAAATTCGATTTCTTAACCTATCACGCTACGACTTTGTGCAGCGTTGCCCACAGATGGTGCATTCTTTTTTTGTGAAATTTGCAAAGAGCGAACTTACCTGAGGAAAAAGTAAAGAAAGAAAAAGGCTTAGCTCTTATGGAAACGCAGCGACGCCACCAGTCTTCAAACAACACGGCGCCGTTTCGCACGGGAGACAAGAGATGGCCCAACGAACGTCGCCAACGAACGAGCATACGGCGCCGAGAGCCGGCGTCTTTAGCAGAAAACATTTTCGACTCAAAAGCGGCGCGCGTTCCGCAGGCAGCGACAGTCGCAGAAACAAAAACAGGCGCGGTAACAACAAGGAACTGCAGTTCCTTGTCTGCTGAAGACTCCGGCTCTCGGCGTCATATGCTCGTTCGTTGGCGGCAGTTGGCGTCGCGACCGTTTGCGCCATCTCTTGTCTCCCGTGCGAAACGGTGCCGTATGCGCCGTTTCTTTACTTTTTCTTTCTTTACTTTTTCCTCAGGTAAGTTCGCTCTTTGCAAATTTTACAAAAAGAAATGCACAACCTGTGGGCAACGCTGCACAAAGTCATAGCACGATAGGTTAAGAAACCGAATTTTGCGGTCGATTTAAAGAACCTGGCCTCTCCTTGAATCACCCTGTAGTAGAAAAATCAGGGTCGTCTCCTGAGGAAAGGAGGACTGACAATTCCAGAAGTTATTTCTTGTTAAGTTTGCTACTTGACTACTCTCCAGAATGTTCAGGCAGTAGATGTTTCTATACTCAGTGCAGAACATGAAAAATGTAGCTTGAAACTGAAACTTCTGCTTGTGATGCAAGAGGGAGAGAATCTGATGCCTCCGTCTAGCCCAGCACAAACAACTCTAGTGACAAACATTTTACGCATTTTTTCTTCTTTGTTGGTGTTAGTTTTTTTAGTTTTCGCAGATGGCATCCCATGAACGATTACTTATTTCACTGCTTAATTTACTTTTGGCTATAAAGTTGTTTTTCTGTAATAGAACAACAGTTGATGTTACTGGAGATACCTTGGCTGCATGTGTTTCAATTTGTAGTGACAAAACTTCTACCTTGAAGAAGTCATACCTTCTTTTGCCAAAGGCACGCCGCTGATGTTCTGTGAACTTTTGCACTTTTGAGTTGTTCTCGTAGCATGAGTTCATCTGTTAGCTTCGTTTTTTTTATTTTTGTGCGGCAGTGGAAATGCATATAATGGCAAAATGCAGAAAGCAGATATTTCTTCTCACGTTTCTCTTAGAGCATCTTTTTTCTACGATAATGTGGACCTCTAGAACATTGTGATGTACAAAGCTGGACACAGCTGGCACAAACAAGGAGTTGTCAGCTTTTTTACAACTGTGCCACTATCATCAAAACTGCTCATCTGGTAGGATGTACGTACCTGAGGTAATAACTTAGGTAATAATACCTACAATTCGCAGCTGCCCTCCCTCCCCTTCCCCTCCCCTTCATATGAATAAAATGCACAGAAAAAATGCTGCTGTCATGTTTGTGCTAACATCCTTGCTCTGTGTATCGACATTCTACTCTAGTGATGAGAAATTCTATATAAAGTACAAATAATAAAAAGCAATGGTAAGAAGGACACGCATGCTGCGCTATGTCCTTCTAGAGGTGTCCTTCTAGAGGTCGCTGCATTCTTCACATTGTCTTTTTCCTCTTTGTAACCCACTGATCTGCCCAACTGCCATCAGTGCTACAAGGCTATGTGAGTTAGCACAACATTTGCATTGTGTACACTGCACGACACTGTTGGAGCAAACAGGACACTGCCACTATTTCATATTGTACCAAAAGAGAACATTGATGTCCCACCAAAATTCACCGCTGAGGTTACTGCATTCAACGGCGACTCTCCGCCACGCTGCTATTTTTAATGGTAGTCGTTTAATATTAAACCGAAAAAGGCAACCATTTGTTTGCACTAACGGTGTTGTGCGGTGTACCTTGTAACTCAGACTGACATGCAAACTAACACTGACAACCGATCGTTGCCGTAACGGGGGTCTCTCCGACACGCCGTGATGGGGCGGATTTGTCATGTCGACCGACCGTGCCCCTTCCAGGTTGTACTTTGAGCGGGCCCATCAGATCGAAGCCAAGCTTGAGGAGGTCAGGGCGGGTCGCGCTCCTGAGTACCTCCAGCCGCTGGAGGACCTGCAGGACAACATGCGTATTCGGATCGAAGTCGCAGGTATGGCTCGTGCATTGCATTTTGTTCATTCACTCTCCGCCTCGTTGAAAAGAATCAAGTTGTTCCATGGCCTCGCAGGTTTAGAATGGCGGGACAAACCCCCTCGTACAGGGCCGCCTGCTCGCCGTGATATTGTTTCTGCGTCTCCACCCGACCGCCGACGGGCGCACTTTGGTTCACCTCGATGACAGTATGGCGCCCGGAACGCGTTTCTGACTTGGTGATGCCTCGTGACGTCGTCGAAATACAGTAGACTCATTAATTCAAACTCCAGGAAGTCACAGATTTTAGTTTGAATTACCAGAAGTTTGAATTATCAGAAATTCATCTAAATATGATACTAGACAACATTATGATTTGTTGCATGGATAGCTACGCATACAAAGCAGATTTTGGCCAGTTTCCTCTACATAGGCCTAATTATAGGCAAATACAGGCATAACACATTGGTGAAAGAACTGTGACATTAAGTTTATTCATCCGGCAAAAAAGTTGTCGATTGTCAGTACATGAGATCTCAAAACAAAATTTTCAATACCAGCCAATGCAAGTAGCTCTTTACGGGACTCTTCGTTTGCAGACAGAAACTTCCGGAGCTGAGCAATGTGCTCAAAAGTCTCTGAGGCTGTGACAGTTAGTAGTGGGTCATCCCTTTCTTCATCATCTTCACTCTCACTGCTGCACTGTGCTGGCATTACTTCCTTATGTCCTCTAATGAGTCATCACGACAAACACAGACATCGTCGTCAAGACTAGCATATTTCGCCAGCTCGGCGTTCACATTATGTGCTTCAAGGCCAGAAAGCATGATGCCAGTGAGCTGTTCCCCATCCTCGATGTGGTCTTGGTCATCATTGCTAGTCTTGAAGATCATAATGTGAACGCCGTTTTCTGCTAATGTCTGCCCGCTTGAGCCCCATTGAGTGCACTTCTTTCCGAGCACCGGTGCACTGCGGAGAAGCAACACTCGCGAAAACAAGCTCCGCGGGTATTGCTTCGCTGCGGTGCACCGGTGCTCGGAAAGAAGCGCACTCAACGGGTCCGCGAGAACAAAAAAGTATGAACTAAGCGAAAACGCCGTTCGAATTAAGCGGCTTATAAATACATAAAAACATAGCGGGACAACCAAAATTTTCAAATCTGTTTGAACCAACTGGAAGTACATAATATCCGAGTTTGAATTATCGCGAGCCTACTGTATCACTCAGTCGCCGGCCGTGGTCCTGGTTGCATCACATCAGCGGTGGTGGCAGACGCCTGTTCTGCTGCAGGTTGCTCTCTAGTCTAACAGTCGACAGAGGCTTTGGCAACCAAGGGTTGGGACGCCGCAATGATGACGACGCTTGCATTTGCTCGTGCTTTTTGCCAGGTCTTCTAGCACCGATGGCCAGTAATGCGACGTCTAACAGCAGGACATTCCGGCTTTTGCGACGTCATTTCTTGCCACTTTGGGGCCACTTTTAATGCATAGGCAGGAAAGGACACTAAAAACACTGGTCGAACACGTGTTCTAAGCATTCTGCTAACAATGTAGCAATAAACGTAATAACAAGGAGCTGCTACAAGCCAGCTGACAAAAGCTGAATGACCGAGGAGGTTGTCCCGCTATTCTTAACCCTTTGAGGGTCACTACTGTGCGTATGTCACGGTGATTCACATTTAAGGGGCAACTCCGGTTCATTTTCGATATTCAGAAAACTATGTAGCCGTCTTCAGTATCATATAGGAAGACCCCATGTCAAATATTGCGATCTAATTCCGTCTACATATTTAATAAACTGGCCAGCAAACCTTCAAGTGACCCAAGTCGCCGAAATCTGCCAACTCTTGCGTGCGACGTGAGACGCAATCGTCAGCGCAGTCAATGCGACGGAGTTGAAGCAGCCAACGTTGAGCCACTACGTCAGAGGCATGACTACGTCATTCTCACGTTTTGTTTGTTTTTACTTCTCGGAGCGAAATGGAACGATGACGTCATGAGTTTCTCCTCCCGGTGTTGGCTGAACGGCGTCCATATGATCACCATAACGCGGATGCGCCAGTTTGCGCTGCCCTGCGCGCTTATCAGTCTGTTTCTCCGCTACCCCTCTTCTCTTTCGTCTTTTGCCCTTCCCCCTGTCCCCTGGGCCATCACCGTGCACGCCATGCGAAGCGACCTGCCTGCGTCGCGTGTCCTGTCCCTCGCCCCCCCAAACGTCACAAGACCACGTGGTTCGACGTGACGTGGCCATGACTCTGACAACACGAGACCAATGTTGCCGATGCAACCGAAGTTTCGGTTTCGGTATCAGCTGATGTTTAAATTAAGATTACACAAATAATATTCCACATTTCGCAAATCCGAAGACGTAGAGCTGTTTAGTAGTGCTTTGTGAAATGGAATCACATGTAAGCCTAAATTTTTCGGAATTGAGCGGAGTTGCCCTTTAAGAGTTACCGCCTAAACGCGAAGCGAGGCGCGCCCCGGGAGGTGCTGCTATTTGCTACTTCTTTTGCAAACACTAGTCATTGTATTCATGCCATGTTCCAGTGTTTTGATGGGCTGGGGTTATTTGTAGATCAGAAATTGAACGCTTCATTCATGCGGTGCGGGCGAGATGATCACTTTGAGTGTGGGCTGCTCTCATGGTGGTGGGCCATAGCTGTCGGAGCTCCAGCTTTTTCGATTTGGACCTCCAATGTTTCTTGGAGTTAAAGTCGAAGGATGCGAGCTCATCATCCGATGCAAAACCTCTGTAAAGTACTTCCGGTTCCTGACACCACAGGGATGTCACGGAAGGGGATGCGCCAACATGTGACTGAATGAAAGGAAGGCGACAGCCTCTTGCCCTCAATATTTCCATTCAATGATTTTCAGTCTGGACAGCTTGCAAGCACTATGTGTGCTCCCGTTAGATACTAAAGAAAGAAAAACTTGCACACCGACTTGTTACTTGTGTTACCTGTTTGAAAAGAACTTGGAGCACTGCAGCACACTGATGTCAGTGTAGCGTCGGTCACACCGCAGGCAGTGGTTCCCTCGTGGGCATCCTCCTGAGCCGAGCTTTGCCCGAATTCCTACCTTGCGCTTTACTTTTTGGCTGCAGGAATTCTTCGAGAGATGAAATTGAAGAACATCAGGAGGAAGTATGAGGCCGAAGAGACGGCAGCATTGCAGAATTTCCAGGTGAGACCTCCCGCTGTCAACTGTTCACGACTCCACCAAAACGGACGGCACCTATAGTCTGTTGCAACCTAAGAACGAAGGGCAAGGGTAAGACGGGCCGGGGAGGAGGGAGCAGACGGAACGCTGGAGAAGAAAGGAGGAAACCTTCTTCTCTCTTTAGCGTTCCGTCTGCTTCCTCCTCCCCGGCCTGTCTTACCCTCGCCTTTCGTTCTTAGGTTGCAACGGACTATAGGGGGAAGACACTGAAGTGAACAGAACAGGTCCTTTAGCGATTTCTGCTCTTTCCTTGTGGCTTCTGTGATTACGTGTTGTTAGCGGTTGGCACGATGAAACAATGAAACAGTTGTCCCGGTGACTTTGTCATTACTGTCGTATCAGCGTGTTGCCCAGCTGGCTCTGAATGCAACCCACTGTACCGTGTGAACCTGACATAGTGCATTTATCAACGTTCATGCGTACTGCAGTCCTTCCATTGCTTTTCTGAAAAAGGTCTAGCCGCTGGAAGCGCGTTTACACCAACACATCGCTGCATGTTTGAGTGTTTGAGGCGTAGTGGATAAAAATTGGGGCAAACCATTTTGTGTCCAGTGCTGGCTTGCTAAAACCCGAGCGCTGTGCATTGGGCTGGCACATGGCACGGCACGACCTGCTTTAGACTGCCATATTTGCACGACAGTGTAGACCCCTATACAGGGTGTGCGGAGGTAAACATAAACAAATAATGGCCGATTTTCCTGGGGTGTATGTTACTTCCAGTTGGCAATTGTTTTTGCTTGTTTTTGGGGACCCTCAGTGAGTAGCACATAATTTAAAAGTTTCACCGGCAAGGACTAACTGTGGTACCTCCCAAAATTTGCTTTTCCTGGATAATATCCCCTCCTGTTCCATTGGGTGAAAGGAAGACGCACTTGTTTCTCAAGGAAATGACAAATCTGCCGAAAGTATTGCGGGATCAATTTCAGGACTACCTATTCGACTAGCCTGGTTCATATACCTGTGAAGGACTTCAAACCTGCAAAACCCTAAACGCGTTCAACTACTTCATGAACGGCGAGGCATCGGCAGTAGGCACCTACCTCCCCCAGGTGCCGAAAATACGCACCGGGCTTCCCCACAGAGCTCGCCGAGCAGGGTCTTGGCTTTAGCGGACAATCTTCTAAAGTTTTTATTACGCTTTCTATTACGCTTTCTTTAGTGCGATGCGAGCCTCTGTACAATTTTTTAGTGTTTCGATTTGCTTGCTTTGTTATTTGAGGTTCTTTCCCGTATCATGGCGCACACTGCATTTGTATGTGCCGTAGTGGCCCGTCGTCGTACGGAAAGAGTTGGTTGAGGTGCCGCGGCGCCGGCGCTACATTCTGGCGCTTATTGCGTTGTGCCATCTGCCGGCAGCACATCGAAGCAGGCTAGCACCGTCTGCTAATGCCAACGCCCAGCAATCGCCCGGGCTCGGTGGCGTCAATGGCGTCCCTCGTCTCGAGATAACGAAGATAACTCTGCTCATGGCATTTTGTTTGTGCCAGTACGCGTCGGCAACTAAAAGCACAGCACTGGGGCATTTCTAGAGCATAGCTCTCGCGGAATCGCTTGCCGGTCAACCAAGAGTCTTCGTGCACCCTCCCAAACATATGGTAAACATAGGAGGATTGGAAGTATTTCTCTCCCCCGTCACGGCGGCCGGAAGTGGTGTGCACACCCTGTACAGGTCGCAGGAGTCACGAATAGAAGCAAGAGGCGCGAACACAATAAGCCGTGCCCTGCATATCTTACGCCGTCGGCGACCATAACAAACTCATCAAGATCAAGAATGGAGATGCTACCGCTCGTTGCACAACAAACTGTCTCTCCTGAGTGCCCCTGAATGCTTAAAAGGTCTCCAATTGGATTGCTGGTTGGAACAGGAGCCAGAAAGACTTCCAATACCATATTTTCTGGGGACCCGTAGGTTCTTTCAATGTCAGTCGAAACAGTTGTCTGGGCACCATGGCAGTATAGATACCCCGAGGCTGTTTCTTCGCACTCTGACCGGTGTATTGATTGATTGATTTGTTGATTATTTGAAATGATGCCTCTGCTTCTAGGAGGGTCAGTAGAGTATATTTTTCTTGCGACATTTGAGCTCCCGGTTAAAAGGATGCTTAACCGAAGCTTAGATTTTGCGAAATAAGGCAGCACAAGTGTCGAACAAGCGCTACGAACTCCAAAACATGGCTCATACATCAATCTTTCAAACGGACAGCTGTATTTCTGGTAAAGAAGTGCGCGATCGAGCGAGGAATGTGACGTTGCGACTCTCCTGGAACAGTTCAGGATAAGGGGAAGCGGCTTCGCTTCTCTCCTCCTTGTTTCGGTTCACCAGCTCAAGGGGACGAAGCAAGGAGGAGAAAGAATGAGAATTGCGACGTCACATGTCTCGTCGGCCTCGTCGGACATGTTCAGTTGCGCACTTCTTTTCCAAAAATACGGCCATCCGTTAGAGATATCGCTGTACGAGTGATGTTTTGGGGTTTAGTAGCAACCCGCCTATCGCTCCGGCCTTGTTTTGTAAGTCTCGCCTATTGTTGGTCGTGTAAGAGTCAGTCGACTGAAATTTATGTTTCTCCTTTTAAACAATGCATCTAAAATAGAGAAAAACAAGTATGTTAAGCGATTGGAAGCGAGAGCCGCTAGACATAAACATAGCGACACACTCGTTGAGTATTCCTTCAATAACAACAGTTTTAAATACTCATTTTTGCCTTCAGCCATAAGCGACTGGAACAGTTTAGATAGGCGCTTTTTTAGTTGTACAAGTGTTGAATTGTTTACTTGATGCAGTTGAAGAACAATTACTTTGTCAATTTATGAATTGATATGTTTTTTTCTGTTACAAGAATGATGCAATATTTTGCTGTTCTCTTTTTCTTGATATTTGCCTGTTGATGTATATTTCTATTTCCCCAATACCTGCAAAAATCCCAATGGGATTGGCAGTATTTTGAGATAAATAAGCTGCAAATTTTGGTTCAGCATCCCTTTAAAGCGTCTTTCGTCTTTCCAGAGCGAACAAGCCTTGCTCAGGGACTCACTCAGAAGCGAGCTCGAGGAGAAGATAAGACGACTGGAGGAAGACCGCAACAGCATCGACATCACCTCAGGTGCCTCCACTTACCGTGTTGCGAAATCGTCCGCAGCATACCTGCCAAGTCTCCTGTATTACCCACGAGACGACCAAATTTTACCATTTTGTATGGTTGTATGGTCGACAAGAAAATCTCCCAAAAAATGCAAATTTGAATCGAATGTTGCTGAACACTCCTTTGGTTTTGCTTGTACTATGCTCTTTCACAACCTGGCCGCTTATGGAAACCTTTGTACCAAGAGAATATTGAGATTTATGTTGGCGGGTGTAAAGGATATGTAATGGGAAGTATGCCCGTTTTTCATGGGACCGTCCAGCACTCTGCTCAAACATCGCTGTTTTTATGGACCAGACCAACTGCGGTTGTCTTACTTCTTTGACTGTTGACACTCATGAAATCATCAAATCTCAATAAGAGAACACCATTGTTACAACTCATGCTAGAGGTCTACCATTCACTGTTTGTATCCCTGTCACGTTCAACCGTGGCGGACCCCGAAATCAGAAAAACAGGACGAACAGCTTACGAAATTCCACTGTACATACATATATTTACATATATAAACAAAGCGAAAGGCATAAGCAAACATACAGTACAGTATAGTCTTAGTCCCCTAGAACCAAGTCTCTGCTGCGGGCACTCAAGACCTTGAAGTGTCCCTGCTCGTGTGTACTTGCATGTTTCTCTCCCTGATGAAGAACATCTTCTTGCTGCTCCGATGAAGGACACCTCGTTGGTTCACGGTCGACTCCCGGGAGCGGGCCTTGGGTGGGCTTCCTCCGGAGCATAGCCAAAGTCGCCTCTGTCGTTCACCGGACCAGCACTTTTTCATCCCTTCGATACTCGTTCCCCTCAACCTCTTTTTTTCTTTTTCACGCAACATTCCTCGTTCATCTTCTCATCTTCTTCTCTTTTCTTCTCCTGCTTACAATTGTGACAATCCCTAACATTGATGCAAATACAAAGGTGTCTCTCCTGCACTGTCACAATTATTTCTTCTTGCTTCCAGATCTCTGGACAGAACAGATCACTCACAAAAAGAATAGGCGCAAGACCGACGCCATGACCTCGGACAAGCGGAAAAAACCGGTCACCGTCTCAGATATCCTTTGCTCTTTGGTTACTCTTGACGGCATCTAGGGACCTGCAGCCTTTTCGCTACTCGCGGGGCATGTTTGGCAGCACACTTTGCTCAATGAAAGTATGGGAAAACATTTCCAGGTTGCATGTGTTTGTCGTAAGGACAACTTAGCGCAAAGGGGGAGTCATAGGTACTTTTGACTCTTAGCTTTTAGGCTAGGTGGCGCAACCTACCGCCCAATATAAACGGTGCAGCTGTTAGCACCCATCTGTCCATTGTCCCTCACCACTGGCCATGTTATTCTGTTGCGTAAGCTTTGCTGAAGTTCCTACCACACCGGCGCTCTGGCAACTAAATTTTTAGACCTTAGGGCAATCCACGAAGGTACTCAGGGACCCCTGGGTTCCCACATTCCGGGGACACTGTTCGAGAACCCATGCTAAGCGAAGCATATTAGCGACTTTAACAAAACCTTCGGCCAGGACTTTTTTTTTCTGTATATCTTGTTTTGTTGATGAACCTTGACAGTGTCGTCTAGCAAGTCCCTACATCGTGTACATGCTGCGCGAGAACGAAATTCTGGAAGACTGGACGGCGATCCGGAAGGTAAGCTTGAGCGTGCCCCGTGACGGAGTCGGCAACGTTGCATTGATGCAGCTCTCCCTCGTCTCTCCCAGGCGCTGAAGGCGGCGCGGCAGAAGAACGAACGTGAGTACCTCTCCGTGTTTATCTAATTTATATATTTCCATATATATATATATGTATATATATATATATGGAAGTGTATATATATCCATATATATATTTCCCCGAAGGCCCAGAGGCATCAAAGAGGGGAGGGGCGAGAGGAAAAAACAAGATTATAGGATATAGATTAGCTTAATACCTGTTTACATCCTGTAAAGTCCAATAAGAACACAAGCGGTAAGGTTTAAAAAGACGCTGAACCTAGGAAATATATATATATATATTTTTTTAATCCGTTTAGTACAGAAACTTTCAAGATAAATGATTGTTAAAAAAAAAAAAAATTTTTGTCCAATGTTTATGTTACAATACAAATTTTTCGATTTGCCGGCAAAACACAAATTGTACTCCTGTAGGACAATGATGATAAGTCTTTGTACCCGGCTATCGTGCGCTTCGATATCCAGCGAACTCAGAGCGCACATTAGTTGGGTACAGATGCTCTCGTCTTCATCCCACAGAGGTACAATTTCGGTTTCACCCGGAAATCTAAAAAATTCGTATTGTAACATAAACAAGATAAATAATAAAAAAATTGTAACAGCTGGACTGGCTGCAATAGGGTTGAAGGAAAGCGGCGAGGTGGAGGCATTGGGGACCCCTTTGGTCCAGTGATGGACAAACATGGCTTCGAACATCGGAAGATTGCCGGGAACACCTATGGGTGTATGGAAAAATTGGCAACGTATTGGCAGCTGTGTGCATCATTTACATTTCTGTGGGAAGCAACCACCGCGAAGAAAATAGAAACGTCCTTGAGTGTGTTCGTCGAGATATCCACAAATTGGATTGAGGCATCTCCGTGCTTATATTGGGAGATTTTAACGGACATCTGGTTGAATTAGACACGCGGGAAGATTGCAACGGCAGGGTAATGAGACCATTGCAAGAGGATCTCGAACTGGAAGTATTGAACCTAAGGGAAGAGTGTGAGGGACAATATACATGGACAGTGCGAGACCATCAGGCCTGCATAGATTATGCACTCACGTCAAACAGACTTGGCAGGCACCTTCAAAAAATGGTTGTGGATGAAGAGGGCGAGTGCAGTGTCAGCAGCGACCACAACAGCATCTTCCTGCACTTTGGTACTGTTTAAAAAGCTCCGAATTGCACGCGTGCAAGGTTACGACCCCACTGCGCGAAGAAGACATAGATACTGTTCACCAAAAGTTTAAAGAGAGTACTCGACGTGCGCAAGCCCGCAGCTATGATGATTTTGCAACCGAGCTTAGGATAGCCATTGCTAAACACTCCATTCGTAAAGAACAGGGGAGGAAAACGAAACCTTGTTCCATGGTGGGATGTTGAAATTCAACAAGCAATTCAAATACGACAGGAATCTAACCGGCGACACAGACAAGCGCTAAAGACCTTTGGGAAGAATCCTTTTACTTTACGACTATGGGAGAAGTACCGAAAGAACAAGGCAATCACGCAAGACATTGTGGAAGCAAAAAAACAAACACAAGGTCATGGCGGAGATCAGAGATGGCGGAAAAGGAGCTGTAGAAAAATTCTGTAGATATATGAGATCTCTAGATGGCAAAGACGGTGCTCCTCAACTCCTTGATTATGACAGTGGATGCCCAGTTCAAAATGTTGGAGAACTGCTTCAGCAACAACTCTACCTTCTGTTTGGCTCTGATGTGGAAATTCCTGCAGAAGACAGACATGACCAAGTCTGGCTTAAAGAAGACTTCCCATCGGCAACCTCTACAGATGAATATGCAACCCCCCGGGGCGGGTGCATATAGATCGCACACTCACGAGATTACACGCGAATACATCGCAGGGCTTGAACGGAATATCGGCTGAGGTGTTGAAACGCTTGAAATCAGATTCACGAGATCAAATGGCGCACCTATTTAGTCGCATAGTTCGCGGCGATGAACCAGTTCCCAGTGATTGGAGACGTGGTCGAGTCACGTTCATTCCCAAGAAAGCAGGCAACAAACAACGATTGAGTGACTATCGCCCTCTCACGGTCACAGCTGTTGCGTACAGGGTGTTTGCAAACATTCTCAATTTGCGCATATCCTATTGGGCCGAGAGTACTGGTGTTCTCACGGAACTACTAAACGGTTTTCAAAAGGATCGTCGGCTTGATGACAACGTATTCATCCTGACGCAGTGCATAGAGATCTCGCGGGCGGAAAAGCGGAATCTCATCTATTGCTTTCTAGACGTTGCTAAGGCATATGACGGTGTCCCCCATTCTTTGATGCTAAAACAACTTCAACAGCTCAACATGCCTGAACTCTGGGTAGGCTTAATACAACGACTATATGATGGCAATCACATGATGGCAACGTTCAACGGGGTCGCCTCTAATGACGTTCTGGTGTGCAGACGACTACGTCAGGGTCTGTCCGCTGTTACCTGTTCTTTACGTGCTCTACACATCCGGTGTAGAAAGCACTAGAACGCACGGGCATTGGCTTTTCCCTGCAACACACTCTGCATGGAGTTGTCGTCAGTTGGCGGCTTCTTGGACTCGCTTTTGCAGATGACATTGTCCTTATGGCCGATAGCGTGTCAGACATGAATGTGCTGCTCATCGCCTGTGAAACAGAAGCGGCTCGACTTTGACTACGGTTCAATGCCAAAAAGTCGGCTATTGTCCTTTTCTCCGGTGACATGGAGGGCCTTGAATCCCTTACCATTCAGAACGCTGTGCTCCCCGTTAGTACCAAGTACATATACCTCGGGGTAACACTAACTACTTTAGCAGATTGTCTGGCAGAACACCACCAAAACCTTAAGACATCGGCACTGAGAAAGCGCAATGTGCTTCGTCGAAAGAGCCTGTGGAGCTGCGACCGTTATTTAATAACCCAAGAACTGTGGAAAGCTGTCACTGTACCAGGCCTCACCTTCGTCAATGCTGTTACATGTGTCCCCAGCGAAATTAGGGAATACCTTGAGCGACGGCAAAGAGAGATCGGCGCCAGGTGCTGGGATGTCACGGGAGAGTGCCTAATCAACTTGTCCAAGGTGACCTTGGCTGGTCCTCGTTTGAGGCACGGTAGACCAGCAGCAAGCTGGAGTATTACGCCCGACTGCAACTTATGGACGGAGATCGCTGGGCACGAAGGGTTTTTATATACATTCATTTAAAGAACCTACACACAACATGGAGGCGGCGTACCAATCGGCTCGGGACAAAGTATGGCGCCTTCTCGATGAGCGACGAGCCCTCTACCAAGAAAGATTGGGTTGCGAAGGTGAGAGGACAGATTAACACCGCCGAGACGAATCGGTGGAGAGCCGACGTGGAAGAACATTCCACCATGCACCTTTATGCGGCTTTCAAGGTCAACATCGCTGCCGTCTGTTGGTGTGGAAACACACTGGGCAGCCGACTCCTTGCCGAGACCCGCGGTGGTGCCTTACGCACCTGCATCTACAGGCGGCGGTACAATGTGAACGTGGCCGAAACCGTGTGCAGTGCATGTGGTGAGGTAGAAGAAACTATCCAACACTTACTCCTTGAGTGTCCGGCAATCATACCTGCCGCCGGCGTCGGCACCCGCATTGAGCAGGCCCTCAATTTTACGGAAGAGAACAAACATATGATGTGCTCAAAGGGGAGGCTGGAGGCATGGTGGAAAGTCCACTCGTGATACTTCAGAGTGACTACGAACCATTTCTCTGACTTTCTAGTTCTTTTTATTTTCATTATCTTTCTCTTTATCTTCTTTTCTTTATTGGCATGTCTATTTTATAGACACTCGTTAAAAAGAGCAATTGCCACCAGAAATACATGCATACATAAATATTGTGCAGAAAAAAATTTTTTTTTTTTCTAGGAACATGTATTTTGAGACATGCCTGTCCTACCCAGATAGAAAAAAACATTTTGTTTTCCTCTAGGTTCAGTGTCTCTTTAACAAAAATGATAGATTATCGCAATTTTAAATGAACCAACCAGCGATGTCGACATGAAAGATGTGCGAAGGCAGTTCCATTCGGATGATGTCTTGGGAACGAAGCAGTCGATCTGGGCACTGGTGCGACGGGAACGAATTGCGACTTTCAATCGGTGGTCAACGCGAGGGAAGTAATTCGAAGGAGGAAGGAGAAGCTCATCTTTTAGAGCAGGGTTGGAGTCATAAATTTTATGAAAAGGACATAAATGAGAAATTTTGCTTAAAATCGAAATAAGAGGAAGAGATGTACGAGCTTTGATGGGATAAGACACTGGGTGTATGATGATGGACGCAAAAAAATAAATTGCAAAACCTGATTTTGTGCGGCGTGAAAATTAGACACGAGCATTTAGAATGTACTAAGGTAAATTTAGAATGTACTAGGTCTTAGAATAAAAGTAATTTCTTTGGTAATTACTAAAATTTAACCTTGCTTTCGTTCCGTCATGTTCCCCCGGGGCTAGGTTGCCTGCCCCACACTGCTTCATTTCTTACCTTGCTTGAATAGCTTTAAGCTGGTCAACACCTTCTGGCGGCGGAAAGGTGAATCGGAATGGCACCAAGTTCCTGTGTGCGGCAAGAGGTGGCCTAGTCTCCACAGCGGGATACAGAGCGGTCGATGTGGGAAGACGTGCAGTCGGAATTGCAGAAAAACCGGTTCACATTTAGTACACTGTGCAACACTGCTAGCTCGAACAAGCAATCGCCGGTTTGTTGTGTTTTAACGAGGAATCTGTTATGTGGCTGGCACCTAACCATTTTCATTCCCCAACCAGGGACGGAAGTCGGTAAGCCGACTGCCAGCCGAACGCTGACGCAGCGCTCGTCTCCTCACTGATTGGACACCGGTGTCGGCCGAGCGTCCACCTCATGTGCATCTGTGTTACTCGCGGCGGGGGGGGAGGACGTCACGTGTTCAGACGTACGGCGGCGCTCTGCTCCGTGAAACAAGCGTGCTCTGTGCTTCCCTGGAGAAAGAGTGCAGGAGAGAATGACAGAAAAGCAGACAAAATGCACTGTGCACCAAGGAGACACCCAGAAGCCGTTAGGCATTGGGCACAGCGACGCTGCTCGTCGAGCGCAGTGACCACCATTAATGCCGAGCCGCCTCCTAAAGCGTGGTCATCCTTGTAGTCAAGACAAATGCACTTCTGGCAAACTGTCGTACACAGAACCGCGGTGACATAGTGACAGTGCTTTTTATAACTATCCTTCACGATGTGGTGAGTTGTCGCCCTGCCAACACTCTCCCGCACGGGGGTAAACAAAGAGTGGCCAGCACTTGGGGGGCTGCATACCACTTTACCGCCGCGTCTTTCTTCTAATCTAATAAATTATGCACTCTACCGTTCATGCCATCCAGTCTCCACTTGAACGCGCAGTTTCTCCGCGCTTAATTTATTTAATCTTGAGTAGGGGTTTGCAAAGTCCTTGGTCTGAAGGAAGTTTTCGTGTGCTGTGCAGGTTAGGCTCCGAGTTTGTGGCAGCATTTGTTTTGAGTCAGGCATAACGACTGAGTTATGCAGATCCACACACCCTTGAGCACATTGCTAGCACAAAGCGTTAGGAGGCCAGTTTAGCGGACTAAATGTGTCGCGGCTTTGTTGCAGTGATGTAGTCTACGAAGTTCCAATCGTGTCGAAAAATTCCGAAATAAAATAGCTATAAAATGGAAGTGTTACTAAATTCACTATGGAAGCTAAGAATCACTTAAATGCCTTCTCTGTTTCGGTACCACATTGTGACGTGCGAGGTGTTGCCAGCTATGTACCGTAAAATCCCGAGAGACAACCCACCTAACATCAAGAGGAAATCAGGTGAAAATATGGAGTGGCCTTACTTTCGGTGTATAATGAAGAAAGTCTTAAAACACTACTATTTTAGGTCATGTTCCTTTCAAGCTTGTTATGGTGGCGAGGGGCAACGAAGCAAAGATGACTACTTCCCAGCTAGCAATGTTCGCTTATATTCCACCATAGCTAACTAGCCACATTTACGCCGAGGTCATTATTGACCCCAATACTACTATTACTAGAAGTCGGGTATCTTTCGGTGTTTAAAAAAAAATAAGCAAATCAAGCCAAAAATAGGGGTGGGCTATCTTTTTGGGGGGGGGGGGGGGGGGGGGGGGGGGGGGGGGGGGGGGGGGCATCTCTCTGAATTTTACGGTAGTCACACTATTTGCGTCTTCTCTCTGCTACAGAAGGAAAACCCTTTACAGGTGTGCAGACAAAGAAGAGAAACATTAACATAGCTTTCACCACACCCTGCTTTGTCACAAAGTTCCTCTTTGGGGTATCCAGAAAAGAAGGCACACCTTCAGAGTTTCTGATTTGGCCCAGAAGGTCGCCTGAAGCCACGAATATTCCTTTTAGGCACACAAAAGTTGCTCACTTTGAACTGGATTAGTAGCTTATTAACTGGGTTGTAGTTTGGCTTATTGTAGATTCTCTTACTAAAACCAAGCAGAATGTTGAATTGTGTCTGGTTGCTAGAAAAACAGGCAGAAAGTCAATACTCTAACCAAGGTTGAAAGAAGGCAAAAGCCAATGTTTCGATAACTGTCCCGTCGGCTTGGTTAGTGGGGGCTGATCACTAGTGGCCGACCAGCTACTGGTGTGGAGTCTTCAAGGTGCCCAGGCATATTATAAATGCTTCTCTTTGTTTTTTGGATCTAGGATTCCAGTTGCAACCATTTTTGCCAGCGCTGTCTGTTTGCCAATACGGTCACGCTCGACATTAGTGCTGCCTCGGGGACCGAACTGCAGTGGCAAAAATCACCGCTTTGCAAATTCTGGTTATTTTGGGTAACAAAAGCAAATGTTAACACTTCAATCAGTATCCTTCTTCACTGCGCACCATGACTAGTGGTTTCCTCTTCTCCGCTTGTCCCCTCTCCAGTATTCATTCTGCTAAGTTGGAGAGAGTGGAAGGCTTTGTGGGAGGGTCTTGTCTTGCCTTTCTTGACCTGCAACAGACTATAGAGAAGCAGTTTTCCCCTCAAATCTCAGTTTACCTATGTCCAAGGTAATGGATTGGCCTTGAAATATCTTTGTTATTTTGTGTTTCTTAAACCTTGGTTTGGGTCTTGCTTTAGTTAAGAACGGCAATCGTTTGTGCCGAACCTAACAATCATTTTCCCTCTCGTTTTAGTGCTCTTATGAGACTCCTTCGCACATCCCATCCTTCATCCATCGTGGACCCTCTGACATCCTGCCAGCCAGCCATGGTCAGATGTACATAGAGCGCTAGCAAGCAAGACCCATCAGCCATCATCAGCATCCCTATTAAATACCCACTTTAATATCATACTGTTTAACTGCCACTGCATGCTCTGCCTTGGTGTATGGGGGAGGGTGTTCTCTTGTATTAGTCACGCGTCTCATTGTCAACCGCTAAAGTATGCCATCCGTCGAATTTCGAGGCATTTTCATAATCTTTTGTGCAAGGCATCTCAAAAGTTTCACAGGCTTTCGTACGACACAAACTTGTGGCAGAACGGTTTCGCGGCCATTGTCGCCATGTGTTCTGCACGTGCGTGGCAGTGACGTCATCTAAATGAATGACTGCCCAATGGCCGCATCTTCCAGAAAAGTGATTTAGATTAGCACTCTTTGCATTTGATTTGGTGTGTTTATATATCAAGAGATGCTGCATGCATTTCCGAAGATGCACTTGATTTCTTCAAAAAACGGTATCCTTTTCTTTTTTTTGTAAGCTTGAGGGACATTGCATCTTTGCCTCCCTGCCTTTGATCTGTGTTCTTGCAGCCATTCTGATGGTCGCTTGCAAGGTTGTCTAAGGAGTTTTTAACCTTTTTCCCTGGGGTCGAGTGCAGGCAATCTGGCCATTCCACTCCTTTAGCACGGGTCACACATGCGTTTAGACAGCGGATTACACGGTTTTTAAGAATGCACAGCACTGCACAGCAACTTTCTATGTCCGTTTTGTTTGCGTCAATGTTTTGAAGCGAGACCCACTGTACCCGGGTGCAGCTCTCTGTGGCAGTGAGGCCAAAGCTACGAGTGCCTGTCTGCTTGTGCAACCTTGCAGCTCCAGTCACGCTGTGCATACGTCGTACGAAGGATGCGGCGTTTGCCGCTGACGCGATGACAGAATTACCCCGGGGCATGTCTCGAGCATGTTCAAAACAAGTTTGCTTCGTTCGTATGTATGCTTTGAACACGTCTGCGGGTGGTTTTTGTTTGATCAATTTGACGGGATCATCATACAAGAAAGAAACACTGCCTCAGACATTGTTTAGAGACCATCATTTGTATAATGTATTATCAGTGTGACCACGGATTGAGTGAGGGTCACAGCTGTGCACATGCACTCACCACTTTGTCTAAAATGTCGGAGAAGGTTGTTTTCGGGTCAGCAATATTGTCTTCGCTGGAGATGAGGCCAAACAGCTAGTGAAGTCGATTGTTGTTGTTGTTTTGTTTCTTTTCCAAACCTTTCCTTCAGCCTGCAGAATTTTGTGTGAATATTTTGCTCTTTGTTTAAATTATGATTTAGTGTTTTAATTATTTTGGTGTCTCTTGTGCAGTGTCTTTCTGGCCTCCCATGTCGCGCAATATAGTTTCTTGTAAATACCATTGCAGTCTTAGCGTCCTGGTTCTAGCACGGTATATTCGTGTAAGGAATGTGGAACTTTGATTGGGAATAAATCGTGTTGGAACAAGGGCGAGTTCTATTTGTGTAGGGCACCTGCCGTATTGAAGAGGGCGCCCGTGTCGTGTCTTCATTGGTAGAAACGTTCCAAAATGTCCAGCTTTGTGCGGCACTGTGGGACACCTCTTCTGGCACAAATGTTGGAATGCCCAGAGTGTCGCTCCTTCGTAGGGTGTCTCTTTTTGGTGTTTGCTTCAGATGAAACCACATGACACCGGCTTAAGCAATGATGCCCCGTAGAAGAGACTCAAGAAGCACTTGAAGTGAGGAAAGCAAATATGTTATTTGTACATTTCCTTGTACAAAGTTACTTCCTAAACTTACTTTCCATAGTCCGTCTTTCCTCCTGGAGTGATGCTGGTTCATTGCCGGCGAACGGCAGGCCGTACAATGTTTCACTCTCAGAATTTTTTGCCAGTTTTCCCTTTTGGACATATTTATTGTGACTGCATGACAACCTTTGCAAGTCCTGAAGGCGCATTAAACATTTACAATTTTTTTTTAGGCTGTTGGGACGTTTGAAAGGTAGATACTAATTTAACAGAACCGTTTTAAACAGTGACTGAATCTCTTTGAATCGAATCATGTGGCAGCTTATTTCATTTTTGTGTTGACAGAACTAGGGGTGTCGCGAACCAGCCGAGGTTCGAGTTCGACCAGGTTCGACTTTTTCGAACCTTTTGCGGAAATTTCGACGAACCTTGTATTGAGGTTCGACTCGTGTGCGCATGCGCGACAGGCTGGACAGTTGGCTTCGGATTGGATGATAATGGCTAAGGGATGAATTAAGGGCACCGCTGATTGGTTATTTCAGTTAATACAGTACAAAACAATTAAGTTATTAACGTCTTCATTGACTAAAATTGGTTTCTTTTAATTGCAACTGTTCATAAAATAAAATAACTCTTTAAATAAAAATAAATTCTCCAAACCTAGACATGCGTGTATCAAGGTCTGGCCACACTGTCCACAAAGTCGAACCGGTGGAATCTGGTAAAAAGTTCGAAGGTTCGTCGAACCGGTTCGACCCAGTCGAACCCCGAAAGTTCGACCTAAAAATCCGGTTCGACAAAAGTTCGCGACACCCCTAGACAGAACAAACCTTTCTGCTTACTGCAGTACATAGATGCATGCATATTGCTGAATCCTTTTAATAGGGTGACGTCTTGCGCCGCCTAGTGGATGCCATTCAGACTAATTTAACAGAACCGTTTTAAACAGTGACTGAATCTCTTTGAATCGAATCATGTGGCAGCTTATTTCATTTTTGTGTTGACAGAACAAACCTTTCTGCTTACTGCAGTACATAGATGCATGCATATTGCTGAATCCTTTTAATAGGGTGACGTCTTGCGCCGCCTAGTGGATGCCATTCAGACTGCATTCAGAAGTTGTACGCTGCTATGGTGTACTAGAACTGGGCAGTGTGTCGTCCGCGCCGAGAAGCAACGGAGGGAGGTGGTCGGCGCAGCGATGACGGCGCGCAAGGACGCCAGGGGGCGCTGCGGGTAACAGGCGTGCTCCTTCCCGCTCGGATTGCCGTGTGGTCGTACTATGGTCCTTCTAGCCACCATAGTCGTACTGCTTGTGATCGCGTGGTTTCGCGTCGTCGCCTTGTTTTGCTGCAGTTTTTTTTTTTTTTTTTTTTTTTTTTAATGGTTGAGTGAAATGGATTGTGATCGGCGCCGTTCAGTGGGATGTAGACAACGCGTGCAATTACGGAAAAACGGCGGGACAAGAGAGACGGGACGTGTTTTGTGCCGGGGCAGTGATTTCCCTACACCCCTCTACGGGGGTGTAGTCCCCCCTTGTTTTTACGAAAGCACCCCTTTAATTCGCAACTACTCTTATTTTCTCAATGCCCCCCGAACCCCCCCTCCCTAACCTCAATTCCTGGGGCCCGTGCCTGGTTGCAACAGTGGCTACCAGTCCTGCAAAGAAGCCCGTTCCCTTTTTCGTGCCCCTCTCGAGTTCGATCGGCGTCAGTCGTCGTCCCGCAACATTGAAAGGAGTGACAGGGAAACTCTGTTTCATGTAATCCAGGCAGTCATGACAGTCGTTCCCTACATTTGTTTTTCGGACTTTTTGCGCTCTAGAGTATCTGCTAAATCGGTTTTACAGACATTGGTTTGGACACGCCGAAGGGTACTGTGCACGCTGACTGCATTAGAAAGGCTTGGAGAAGCGACTGTGAAAATGTGATGTTAAAAGTTAAGGCCTCACATCAGCAATTTTTTTTTTTTCCTAACAGCTTTAAAAAGATGAGGGTTGGCCCAGCACTCCGTCTCTTCAATGAGGAGGTATTAAGAGGCCTCTTTTTTTTTACCGCAAGAATATTGTAGGGTCTTATGGCCCAGCGGAAGATACTGAGTCATTTATCCTGAAGATGTCGAAGCTCATCAAGATCATGACCTCACGTTGGAGAATATAGAGGTACAAAACGCCACAGGCGCCGACTATGGGGGAGCTCGGTAGCCCCCCTCTCCCGAGCTCTTGGGAAAAGCAAGTACCATCGCCTCCGGAATCCTTGGGTGCACCTCATTAATCTCACAGTGCGCTGGTGCCCAGTGCATAATTAAAAATTTATCTGTGCGCCCTGGTGCCCACACATATCTCAGTGGATAAAGAATTTATCCACTGTGCATGGTTACTACCAGAGCAGGAGAGTGGATACATTTTTCTAACTATTCGCACAGTCCTGTTTGAAGACCCTACGCATGGGCGTACCAACCGGGGGGGCAAGGGGGGCACTTGCCCCCCCAGTTCTCAGAGTGGGGGGGCAAGGCATGCGTTTTGCCCCCCCTGAGACGGCCGCCACTGGGCAGAGCAGACACAGGCCGGCGGCGCCCAAGGAATACCAAGGGCACTGCCCCCCGACCCGCGCGGGCATATTTTTAACGCGCAGGCGATACAAACCCTAGCAACGGTGCTCACGCACGCCAGATTGGCTGGTTCGTAAAGCCTTGCTCCACGAACAAGGCTACACGGTAACCTTACGGAATCCATCCGCGAGACATGGGCCGGACGGGCCGTCCAGACCAGGACGTAGGCCCTTACACAAAATAAAGTTTTGTTTGCTTGCTTGGAGATAGGCGCTGCCGCCGTCAACATAGGCAGCGGATGCAATGCGAGTTTCTGAAGAGGTATAGCGTAACTTAGTGGTGAGATGTCTGCCTCATACGTGTCAGACCCGGGTTCTATTTATGGTGTGGGCCGGCTTACTTCTTTTTATTTTTTTTCTCGAACATTTTGTTTTGTCGAGGCATTTGGCGATATTTACATTTCTTTTTTACCATTAACACTAAAAAAACGAATGTTGTTGACGAAACATCGCTAAACTAAATCGTATCGACTCTATTTACGGAAGTGCATGGGGGGCAGCGGGGCTTGGGTTGCCGACCGGACGCCGCAAAGCGGCGTGTACGGGGGGTGGGGGGGCTAGGTGGGTTAATAGATTTGTAATTAGCAGCCGCACACCGTCACCGCGAAGCGGCGTGAACGCTGGCGCGGGGGTGGGTTAACGCGCTTCGAGTGATACACGAGCAGCCCATCCGGCGTGAGCGTCGTTGTTATGGGTTCCATCGCCTGCACCGTAAAAGGAGCAGTGTGTGCACCTCCTGTAGTGGGCAAGAATTCCTACATTGGAGAGAAGCGGGGACAAGCCCTTTCTTCAAATGCGTCAAGTCTCCTTGAGCTTTGGAATACAAAGAAACGCCACTATTCGGAGCTAATCCCACAGTTACTCGACCTCTCTTGCGTCGTGTCCGCTCCCCGCGCCTCGTAGCAGTGTTGTTGCAGTGGGGGGGCTCGTTAAAATTTTGGGGTTTTTTGGACTATCTAAATCACTTTCTTCCTTCCCATCCCCCCCTTTTCTACTCCGCATGCTTCCCCCTCTGCAAATATCAGCTGACCTTCCGACCTCTGTTCTCTGTTGATAGGCAAAACAACCACTAAAATTAGAAAGTAATTTGTAATTTGAGTGGAAGTCACTCAGAAAAGTAGTTAAAGTAAACTACTGATTACTAGAGTAGAAATGTAATTAAAAGTTACTAAACTACCCAGAAAAGTAGTTAAACTACAGTAACTTGAGTAAAGTAGTTGAACTACGTACAAGTCTGGCCTGGCAAGCGCTCTGCGTAAGTGTTTTCACTGATATGCCTAGCCCCGCACACCATCACATGGGCCAAGAAAGGTGTAGTTTTACTGCAGAGGAGAAATCAGCAGGGTCCAAGATGGTGACAATGGAGGATGGGGGACTGTTCCAGTGGCTGATGGCTTGAGAAAGGAATGACCAATTGAAAGCGTTCGTAGAGCCAGAAGTGTGTTTGATGGTGCAGACGTTGTTGAGGCGAGAAGATGTTCGGTCGAGGGGTAATAACAAAGTGGTTTTGAGGTCGGGAATGTGGTAGTAGATTTTGTGAATAAGGCACAGCTGAGAGACTTTCCTGCGAAGCTGCAAAGAGGACATGGTTAGTTCAGTTTTTAGCGCCGAGACACTGAAAGAAAAGTCATAAGTGGATGAAATGAAGCGAGCAGCTCTGTTCTGAACTGCCTCTACAGCGTATTGATGAGGTACAGTCGATGGGTATTCCAGATGGTTGAAGCATATTCTATTTTTGGTCTGACGTACGTGTTAAAGGTTAGCTTAGGAACAAAGGGTGGAGCGATTTTTTAAGTTACGTCTGCTTAGTCCAAGAGTTACAGATGAATTGGCGGTAATGACTTCAATGTGGTTATTCCAGGGAAGGTTAGATGTTAGTCTTACACCAAGGTATTTATACACAGTAGCGGTCTCAATAAGATCGGAGTCCAAGAAGTAATTAAATGACAGAGTGGTTTTTTTCTTGGTGAAGTGGATTAGTTTTTGTTTTTACTTGTTTGGTGACATAATCCACTTTTTGCACCAATGGTTAATTTTATCTAGATCTTCCTGAAGCTGGTTATTATTTTGCACACAAGTTACTTTGTTATGGATGACGCAGTCGTCGGCGAAAAAGCGTTTTTTTGAAGAAATCCCAATGGGAATGTCATTAATAAATATTAAAAAGAGTAAGGGCCCAAGTACGAACCCCAGGGGAACACCAGGAGATACATTTATTAAGGAAGATTCATGATCATCATGGACGTGACCTGTACACGGGAAAAAAGAAAGTCACGAATCCATGCAAACGGTTATTGGTCGAGGCAAAAAGATGATAGCTTAGAAAGAAGGCGTTGATGGAGGACACGGCCGAACGCTTTGGAAAAAAAACTGCGTCAGTTTGGACGTGACATTCAAGGTTAGTGTGCAAGTCATGGATGAAGTCGCAGAGTTGCGTTTCGCAGGAAAGTACCTTTTGAAAACCGTGCTGCTGTTTAAAGAAAAGAAATGGGATGATAGGTGCCTCATGATATTGGAGTAGAGGATATGCTCAAGTAGTTTGCAAGAAATTGAAGTCAATGAATTAGGGCGATAATTAGATGCGGAAGAGCGGCTGCCCTGTTTAAAGACTAGGAATTACCCTTCCCACCTTTTGGTCAGATGGAAGGCAGCTTTGAGATGAGGACTGAATGAAGATGAGTTTCAAATACTCACTAGAAATAACACGGGTGTTTCTTTTAAATTTTAGGGTTGATGTTATCGGTTCCAGCGGACGAAGTAAGTTTTAGTTTATCAATCAATGTTTTAATACCAGCGGAGTTAACGTTAATAGGATGCATGCGCTCGTAAAGCTCTTCAGGGAGAGTGGGGACGAAGTCCAAGCACTCGTTAGTAAACACTGATGAAAAGTATTCGTTAAACACAGAACTATCATGCTCGACGTTGCACATCCGACATTCCTAACTCTCCCCATCTTCCTAAACGTCCGTGTGTGTCCTAACACCAGAAACCGGAATTTTAAAGGCTAAAAACGGCACGTTGCGAATATGGAACGCGCACTTTCATGCAAAGCTGACGTCATGTGACTCAAATCGAAAAACATGCATATTTACAGTATTGTTATCTCTTCTGGTGAAGGCTAAACAACCGTTGCATCCGTTTTCGCGCACGAAACGGTGACTCCCAGAGAAAGTAAGAACGCAGTGATTGTCTTTATTTTAACAATGTAAACACACTTGCAGGCGTGCGCTGATGAAGCCTCAAAATCAGAACTCTCGTAGTGTGATTCGTGACTGCTCCGGCTACTACCCAACCTCGTTGTCACGCCACTTTCTGCAAGCAAACACTAAAATTGCCAGTAAACACACAAAAGCGACATCGATACAATTATCTTGTAGAATATCACCTTATTTAATCATAACTGTTTCAATAGGCACTAGAAGTTGTATTTATTTTAAGAAGAAGAAGCAACATTTTTTTCGTGAGAAAAAACAAAATATCAATGTTAAGTCTGGTAACGTTGTAATTTTGCCGAATCATTGCCACATCTTTAGAAAAGTTCGACAAAAGTTGCGCCGAATTTTCGATTAAGGGGGGGGGGGGGGGAAGAGGGTCGGGTTTGCCCCCCCCACTCAAAAACAAGTTGGTACGCCACTGACCCTACGTAGTAACAGCAAACACGATAAAGGCTAGTACTAGAAATTCCTTCGAAAGCCCGTGGAAGTAGTTGCGAGAGTCGACAGTAGCACCTCCATGCAGCCTACGGAAGTAGACGATATAATGCGTTTTGTAAGCCCCATTTTGTTTTCCCAAACGTTGAAACAATTAATGACGGTCAGTGCTCTTGAACCACGGAATTCATTGATCACATCTACAGTGACAGCGAAATTATAGGGTCACAAAAGCACACATTTGTTTAGGTATCATGCCATCAGCATGCCTATCGTACGTTATCCAGGGGATTACACACGTTTGGGACGTCTCTTTCAAGAGACTTCCCAAACGTTTCCCTGGGGGATGGATTTCCCGCCTATTCAGAACGAAACATTGTTAGCGCGAACAAGCGATCGCCAGTTTTTCTATGAGAAACCAAAGGATCTCAGCAAAGTTCTAATTGCTGGGGAAAAAGCTCATTCGGGTCTATAATGCAGGTGATAAAAGTTTGTCCTCACTAATACTCTTTCGAAGTAAATCCGAGAAAGCGCCAATGTCTTGTTCGCGCTACCAGTGTCGCGATGTGTACTGTGGCGTCCTGCCCGAAGATGCACGTCTCGGGCAAAGCATTTGGCAACGAATTAGTGCGATAAATAATATGTGAAACAGCAGAAATAAAGAATACCGTAAAGAGTTAGCCAAACAATACGAAACAATCGAACTCGTGAGGAACGCCAAGCCAGCCAAGCGCTACCGCTGCCTGCACTCCGCACTCCGGCAGCACGCCTACTACACGTTGCGCCCTCTCGCGGCCACCGATCCGGTCATCGCTGAAAGAGCCCCCCTTCCGCCGGCGCTCGCTACACTGCCCAGTCTTCTAGTACACCATAACGCTGCCGCCTAGCGCCTAGCGTGAAATGAAAATGCTAATCGGGAAGTGGCTCTCGCCGTCTAGCGGAGTATTTTTACACAGTCGAGATGGCGGTGCTTCCGGTGTTTTTCCGCATGTACCGCATGCACGCCGAAGCGAGGGGGGCTGTCTGGTTTATTTGGTCGCGTAACGTTTCGATCAAAGTTTAACCCCGTTTCGCCCACGCATGGAGCCAAAATGTCACTGTAAGGGCGTAAGAACGTGCCTGTTCTGCGAAACAGTCAAGACACCGAGCAAGCACGCCATTTCGAGAAAGAAAGTGCGGCATCCTTTCGTGTTCTGCCCCAAATGCTGTCTGTGCTGGCCCGGCTGGTTGTCGACGGACGCCGGCGGTGGCAAACCTTGCGGCAGCGTGCCACCACTGCGGGTACCAGGTCTTGAAGTTCACGAGGAGTTTCTAACCCCCGACGAAGAAACCAGGCTAGCCGCCGACATCGACACAGCCAACTGGGCGGGCTCTCAATCCGGAAGGCTCAAGCAAGACTACGGACCCAAGGTGAATTTCAAGAAGAAGCGAGTAAAATCGGACGGGTTTCGGGGCCTACCTGCCTACTATACCCGAATCGAAGAGAAGATGCGCGAAAACGAGACCGTATCGGACTTTGAGGCGGTCGAACTGTGCAACTTGGACTACCACCCGAAACGCGGATCGTGCATCGACCCCCACTACGACGACTGGTGGCTTTGGGGCCCGCGTCTGGTGACGTTCAATCTGTTGTCTGACACGGTGCTTACGCTGTCCAGGCCCGAGGAACACTGGAAGCTTACCGACGAAGATCTGATCGAGTCTGGGGACAGAGGCGCAGACGACGTCGAGCGGTTGGCGGCGGCGGCCCCGTTGCAGCACGGACCTGATTGCGGTTCGTGGTCGGACGCGTTCAAGGACTCTATCTCAACCCGGGTGCCGCCCAGGTTATGTGTCGTTCAGGTCTCGTGTCCTCGTAGGTCTATGCTGGTGCTGTGGAGTGACGCCCGGTACAAGTGGCACCACTCTATCCTCAGGGAAGACGTGAAGAGTCGGCGCGTGGCGATGACCGTCCGCGAACTCTCCGAGGAGTTTCTGGACGGGGGAGCGTCATTCGAGTTCGGTGCCGAGTTGCTGAGCATCGCCAAACAACGAATTTGACGGCACGTGCGTCATTTAGTACGGTGTTCGTCTTATTTCCTATGTTTCCTAGTTGTTTTAGCTACGACAAACTCTGTTTTAACCATGGGCCGTGATCTGTTGCCGTTCAACCTATGCAAGAACTGATTCGGAGCGTTTTGTATTAGGAGGAAGTTTTACGTCGTGCCATACGTAGTTTATCAATAAAGGAGTTATAGCGCTACTGTTGTTTACCTAGTCTGGGGCTATTTTGGAAGTACGGTGTTGTAAATAGGATGCGTAAGCGATCAGTTTTACATGGAAAAGGTGCGTTTGTCGGCATGGCGTTCGTGGTACGGAAAAAGTGAAGGCCGGAAAGGTAAGCTTTATACCTTCAGTTAATCTCATAGATACATGTTCGATTAAAATATAACTGCCAGATTATCGGAGCTCCGGTTGAAGACTAGTTTCAATTCTTTATTTCACTCAACGTTTGTTTCACAGCTTCGAGCGGGCACTCCTTTTGAAGACCCGCACAAGTTAACCCGGTATTTAGATCGGAGTGCTAATTTAGTTCCTTTTCGCAGAATACTCTTGTGAAATGGCTCACTCAGATGAACCCTATGGATGAACCCCCTCACAAAACAGTGAAAGAACGCAGCGGACAGAAAAACATACGTAGAAAACCAACGTTGGTAAAAAAAACTACCCGCAACGGGAGCAAAAGTTCCGCTCCTCCTACATAGATGGCGCAGCAATGCAACGCCGCGAAAGTGGCAAACGCAAACCCCCTCGCCTCCGCCCGTCGATACCGCGGCAGCAGCGAGCGACTCGTCCGAGTCGACGCGCTCCGAGAACGCAAATCAGTTTACCAACACGCGAACGACTAGACCACCGTTCCGTCGTGCTGCGCTAGTGGCGGCGGGAAAGCGACTGCTTCGTTTTATACACACACCCGTGCGACCTCCGCTACGAATTGATCACTGCCAAGTTCAGCGGAACATACACCCCGCCTCGTGGAGTGTGTGTGTTTGTGTGTGGGGTTTTTTGTGCGTGGGGTAACAGTAGCTTGCGATGCCCAGCAACATCTGACATCGCTGCCGTCGCGTTGCCATCATGAGCGTGTTCTTCGCGAGCATGGACAGCGCTTCGCACGACACGAGGGCCCTGTCGGGCTACGAGAAGTCCTCGTCGGCTCCGACGACGCCGACGGAGACAGCCAAGGTAACCTCGCATGGCGGCGGAAGCGTCTCGGCGCTCAAACGCCGCAGCAAGGGACATCGCGTCAACTTTCCGACCGACGATCGTATCGTGACCGGCTACGTCGAAGCGCCCAATCCCTGGAGCAACGGTAAGTTTCCCAGCGTGTTACCCTAATTGCGCGCTCGCTTGTGCAACAGTGAGATGCGTGCCTATGAGCACCCAGAATTATTGTTGTCTTTCCACTCCATGACGCAAAGAGAATGTCTTTTCTTTTAATGCTCTTTCGGTTTTGGATTCTTGAATCCTAGCTGCTCCGCGAGATTTTGTTTACCGTTTTGTTAAAACACCCGAAGCTGGGTTGAATTGCTTGAAGCAACCAAAGAAGAAAAAACAGTAAAAGAAAGACAGACACCAATTTCTCCGTATAATTGTTAAGTGGGTGTGTTACCGCTTTGCGACGATTCATTTTTTTTTTTTTTTTGCGATGTGACGTTTAGTTTTAGAAATGCCAGCTGTTTGTATGAATCCGTCTTGATTGAGAAAGCAAAGCGCTTCAGTGCCAAATAATAACAAAAAAACGTTGTTTTTTAACTTGTGTGTTTGAGCGGAGCTTGACATTCCAGTCACGTCAGAGACTGGATGTAATGACGTATATTTTTGCCTGTCTGCGCCGATGGGGTGTATCCCCGGAAAATTTACAAGGTTTCTTTTTTTGCACCGCAAAAGTAAACTACGTATCACCGAATGCTCATTCTCCGCCCAAAGGTAGCGCTAGAGGTTCGAACCAGATTCCAAAGTTTCAGCTTGAACCATCTTTATCTTATTCAAAAGTTATACGGGATTTTCTGCAAATTTCGATGGGGAAATGGCGGCCGACGTTGCTCTCGAATGGAACTCAGCGCCAGAAACCGAAAACGGGTACTATTGAACTTTTCAGAAAATCGTTCGTTACTTTTAAATAAGATATCGGTTCGGACTCAAACTTGGGCATCATGGTTCGGACCTCTTGCGCCGACTTCGGGCGGAAAATGCGGCGTTCTGCGATGCGCAGTTTATTTTTGCGATGCAACAACCTCGTAACGTTGTTTTGGTGGACACCCTGTACATTCTCGTCCGTTTTCACGGGAACCGATACCCCCAGTAAAGAAAAGCAACCACACCACAAGTAAGCCCAGGGATCCTGGCTGGGATCCCTACCCCAGCGTTGGCTAAATTTTTCATCTACGGCGGAGAGTGACAGGCGCCCACACTGGGCCTATCGAACTCCCCGCTGTTTAAACCAACACAGAACGCACGATTACCGCGAATAAAACGGCATTCGGCGTTTTCTTGAAATTCGCCTGACTTTTCCTCCACCGCCTCCCACCCATTGCAATCGTAACCGCGCGCGCAAAACCTTGGGCTTGCGTGCTCGGGACTTAACCTTCATTGAACCGTGCCCTCCGCCGCTCTGGGTCAATAGTTCCCATTTATAAACATCCATTGGGGAAGTGCGTGTGTCCAGCCTCAACTCGATTTGGGCCAGTGCTCCTTGAAGCAAGGATTAATTAAAACCGCACACTTGGCGAAAGTTCGTCCCCCCCCCCCCCCCCCTTTTTTTTTTTTATTTAATGTTTTATCTCTCGAGGAGCTATTTGTTTATTTGTATCTTTCCTTTTCGTCGAAATGACGTCAGCAGATGCTGTGTGCGTTGCTTCGCGATTATGACCGCATTGACGTCGAAATGCGATAATCATTTGGCAAGGCACTCTTTGTTGGAGCTTCTGCGTCCTCTTAATATTAGGAATGAGAGAGGGTTCTATTACTGCTACAAACAGCTCATTACTAACGTCGACTTTCTTTTTTTTCTTTTTTTTCTTTTTTGTCGCCTGAATGCAGCCAGAGAGTTTTAGTTTGTACTCTTTGGGTGACGTCTAGGCTAACACAGGCAAGCTTGTGCGACCTCTTATTAGTTGGGGATTAATTTTTTCGGCTTCCTTATTGCCTGATGCCGCAAGCTGCGGAGCGATAAGTTGTTCGGGAGTCGCCATGTCCCTATGCTTCTGTTAGCGACTATAACTTCATAGCAGGGATGGACAGTATTTTATATACAAGTATTCGAAATACGTATTTCAAATACTTTGTGTATTTTGTATTTGTATTTAATTACAAATTGGGTAATGTATCTGACGTGTATATTTAAATACTAAAATAATAATAATAATAATAATAGTACCTTTATTTTTTCCAACAAAAACAATGTTGAAAAGGTGACTTGGGAAAAAAGCTGTAAAAACAGCTTGACGAGCCCCAAACCACCTACACCAGCAGTCACGATGCAGGCACTAAAGATTTATACAAAATTGAAACGTGACATGTGTACTACATGTTTGAACAACTTTACAAAGAAAGAACTGACGCTAAACAAGATAAGTAGCATATTGATACAGTTTACACAATAGTGAATACACACACAGAACGTTAAACACCACTGAAATAAACGCGAAAGAAACCATCGATTCAAAAGATTTTAGCGCTTATCACGGACAATTTGGCTCGAAATTAACATTTGAAATAAGCATTTCTCGTAAGATGCTCACCGATATATTGCTAAGCTCAATGCCTTGCCTACTAAGCTGGTTAAGGGTAGAGGTGGGTATTTCACGTGGTATTTCAAATACAATTGTAATTAAATACAATTTTGTGGGCGAAAATACATCTTGTTTTTATGCATGTTGTTGTAAGATATAGTCTCCATCCTTTATTCGGCCATAGGGCTTTTTTCTTTCTCTCCTCCGGCTTTATTTTAAAGGCACTGTCCAGAGCAGGAAGAAAACTACGTTCTGCACCGAATGCAGTGCCTCTCAATAAAGCACAAGCGTTTAGTGACTTTGTGATTACGGTGCTAGTCCAGGGCAAGAATAGTGACGAAATCGACGTTCACAGGCAGACTGGCTAAATAAGTGCCTGTGACAACTTGTGATGCTTTCCAGCCTGATTTCCATTCATATTTTTGCCTGGAACATTCTAAATGTGCGGGTCATTCAGATTTTCGTAACTGGTGCGAGTTGCAACAATAAAAAAATTCTCTAGCTAGTGCTGCGCGTCTTGGTCGTCTCGGTTCTTGTTGGTCTACACCGAAATGTAGTCGACAAAAAAAGCTACTTGAAGCTCTGTACATTTTTCACCTATTACGTCCAAGCTGATTACATTTTTGTGATTATATTTCTATTACGTTGCTAGAGCCTCGCACACTAACTCCCCAGTGCGCTATTTAAAATTAAAATGAGATACCCAGAAACCCGTCGCAGGTGCCCTGAAGTCGCTGACGCAAATTTTGAGGAATTTATTTGGAAAAGTATTTGGAGGAGACCAAATACAATTGGTTGTATTTGTATCTTGTACTTAAATGCTTTTTTTGGAAATGTAATTAGATTTGTAATTAAATACATTTCTGACCAAGTATTTTATATTTGTATTTCGATACATGTTTGCATGTATTTTGCCCATCCCTGCTTCATAGTAAACCTGGGACGAAGAAAAACGATAAATAAATAGTTAGAATAAAACCCTTCAACCTCAAATACGTCGTGTGTGATGGTCGAGACTGGTCGAGACGTTCTGTATGTGGTTGGTAAAAGATTAAACGTGGTTGTCCGTGTTTTTTTTAATTATTATTATTATTGTTATAGGTTTATTGTGGATCTAGTTCATGATTGCGGTTCAAGGTCGAAGCGGGGCTTTATATTAAATTTGGACTCTGGAGTACGAAAAATAACTGGGCTGGGTAACTCCTGGTCTTTGTCGACAGACTCCTGCACTGACTCCAATCGATCTTGCCGATCGCGCTGCGAGAATTGTGCAGTGTTCTTCGCTTTCACTGTATTACGATGCTCGCCGGCGTGGAAGGATGCCTTCAGGGGCGAACGCTTCGAGTTCTTTGTGTATATTTTTGCTGCTTCTTCTCTGAGCGCTGCTGTGTATATATCGTCGTACTTCCCTGAAATCGGCCCTGGAAAAACAATTCTTGGCTCGTTTTTCCCTTTCTGCTCGGCGCTCGCCTTGGCTCGGCTGTT